CTTGGACGTGCCCAGGAGAGGCCAAGCTGTGAATCATGGCCCCCTGCCATTAGTGCCAAGCCTGGGGCCACTTAGAGATAGGTTTAGGGTACTTGAAGGCCAAATGTTGCCTGTTTGATATTTGTGGACCTTGGAGAGATTTTAGGAAAGTCCACAGCAGGAACCAGGTGACAGGCAGTTTATATTGAAAAACTACTAGAAATGGCTTGGGTGGGCCTGCAAGATGTGTGGGGCAGGGTCTCAGGGAATCACCAAGGTTGGGTGAACAGTGTGAGCCAGCTTAATGGAGACTTAGATATGGTGCTCTCCTGCCAGCTCTGTGGCGGTGGGGTCTCAGAAGAGGAACAGTGGTTTCTGCCTGCACTTTTGTTTGTCAGAAAGCTGCCTGTCTAGCTTTTGCCCTGATGTCAGACAATTCCATTCTTCCCTGTATGTCCCTGGTTCCTTTTGAGCTGCTGCTCCAGTGCTGGAGCTCAGAGGAAGTGAGACGGCCCTTTAAAAGGAACTGCTTGTGACACCAGCAGCCTTCATCTCCCTCAGCCTTAATCCCTGCTGTTTTTTTTTTTATCCTCACTTGAGGATATTTTTCCATTTTTTTGCTCAGATAGAGTGGGAGGGAGAGAGAGAGGAAGAGAGAGAGAAACATCGATGTGAAAGGGACACACCCCGAGTGGCTGCCACCCGCACTACCAACCAGGGCCGGGGACAAACTGCAACCGAGGTACGCACCCTTCATGGGAACCGAACCCGGGTCTCTCTGGACCGCAGGCTGACCCTCTAACCCCTGAGCCAAACTGGCCAGGGCGATCCCTGCTGTTTTTTTACAGACAGAGTTATTGGGACTTTTCTTCCTGGCATTGCAACCCTGGGCTTGGGGGCCTGTTATGGGACTGGGATTCCTCGATCCTCAGGTTGGACCTCTGCAGCCGAGATATCTAACTTGATTTTTACCTGGCATACGTAGGTGGGTGTGGGACCAGCCCATTCCATATCTCTGCCTCTCCTACCAGTCTAGATGTGGCTGGTTCTTTAAATCTGTAGTTGTAGGACTTCCATTCAGCTAGATTTGAGGCAGTTCTGAATTACAGTTGTTCTATACTTTAGTTGTAACTTTGATGTAGTTTGAGAGGATTGAAGTACTGTATTTATTTACCTATCGCCATCTTAACAGGAAGTCCCCATTTCTGAATATTAATTTTGTATCTTGCTACTTTACTATATTAATTTATCAGTTCTAGTAATTTTTGGTAGAATCTTCAAGGTTCTCTATATATAGTATCATGTCATCTGTAATTAATGACAATTTTAGTTTCTCCTTTCCAATTTGGATGCCTTTTGTTTCTTACTCTTTTCTGATTGCTGTGGCTAGGACTTCCAGTACTATGTTGAATAAGAGTAGTGAAAGTGGGCATCCTTGTCTTGTTCCTGATCTTAAAGAAAGCACTTTTAGTTTTTGCCTTGTGAGTATGATGTTAGCTGTGGGTTTGTCAAATATGGCCTTTATTGTTTTGACATATGATCTCCCTATTCCCACTTTGCTCATAGTTTTTTTCATAAATGGGTACTGGATTTTATCAAATGTTCTTTGTGCATCTATTGATGTGATCATATGATTTTTATTCATTTTGCTTAGGTGGTGAATCACATTTATTGATATGCAGATATTGTACTAACCTTGCATCCCTGGAATAAATCCCAGTTGATCATGATGAATTTTTTTTTTTAATTTCTAAAATATATTTTTATTGATTTTTTTTTTTTTAGAGAGGAAGGGAGAGAGAGAGAGAGAGAAACATCAATGTGATAGAGAAACATCTATTGGCTGCCTTCTACATGCCTCCTACTAGGGATTGAGCCCGCAACCTGGGCATGTATCCTGACCGGGAATTGAACCAGGACCTCTCAGTTCTTGGGATGGTGGTCAATCCACTGAGCTACACTGGCTGGGCTTGGTGAGGATTTTTTAATCTGTATTTATCAAGGATATTGGTGTGTAATATTCTTTCTTTTTAGTGTCTTTTTCTGGTTTTGGAATTTGGATAATGCTAGCCTAGTAAAACGAGTTCAGGAGGCATCCCTTCTCTTGAATTCTTTGGAATAGTTTGAGAAGGATAGGTGTTAATTCTTCTTTGAATGTTTGGTAAAATTCACCGGTCCAAGACTTTTGTTTGCTGGGAGTCTTTTGATTTCTTCTTCGATTTCATTAATTGTCATAAGTCTGTTCAAATTTTCTGTTTCTTATTTCAGGTTTGGAAGATTGTATGTTTCTAGGAATTTATTCAGTTCTTCCAGATTGTCCAGTTTGTTGGTATATGATTGTTTGTAATACAATTGTATAGTTTTTATTAGGCGGTTTTATGGTATACTTCCTAGTGTTGCCTGTTGTCTGAGTAGGCACTTAATATTTAAATGAATGAACAAATTTATGAACAATTGGACTTTTTACCAGGAAACAGATCTCTTTTACTCTAAAATTCTGGTTATAGTGTAGTTAGAGTTCCATATTTAATGATGCCCTTGCCAGTTTGGTTCATTAGTTATAGAGTGTCGGCCCACACACCAAAGGGTTGCCAGTTTGATTCCTGGTCAAAGGCATGTACCAGGGTTGTAGGTCTGATCCCTGGCCCCAGTCGGGGTTGTGTAGGAGGCAACGAATTGATGTGTCTCTCTCATATTGATGTTTCTCTCTCTCCCACCTTTCTCCCTCTCTTCAATTCTCTCTAAAAATCAATGGAAAAATACCCTCAGGTGAGGATGAACAAAAACAAAAAGACATATAAAACATCTTTTATTGAAAGACTGGGGATAGAAAAATGAACACATTTTTTCTGGCTCCCTGACTACTCACAGACCAGTGGTAGATACATGCAGAAATAATGACAGCCAAAAAATGTTTATGGAAGCAGGGGAAAATGCCTGGGGATCTCAGGGTGGCTTTTTGGACAAACCACCTGAAATTCCTTCTACCTTTTTATGGTTGGTATTTTCCTTATTCCTTGCATGCAATACCTTTTGTGCAGGCATCATTGAAAAATTAAAATTTATTTAATGTCTTGTGGGTTCTTGAAATATTGGGGGGAACACTTTGTAAAGTGTATGGTTGTCTAACCACTATGCATATACTTAAAATTAATACAGAATAATATTGAATGCAAATTGTAATTTAAAAATAAATTAAAATAGAGTTGCAAAAAAATAGTATTTAACATCTCTTAGAGGAAACAGGTTATACTTAAAGTAGTTTTGGATGTAAGGTAGAAAAAGTCTCTGAGTCATAATATGAGATATGAACCTGCTATAAATGTTTTCTGCTGGAAAAAAAATTGGGATAATGCTAACCAAATCTATAAATGAAATATAATAAAAATAATTCAAAATATAATAGATGATTAAAGTTAAAAAATGTACTGAGGCATGTTTTAGCTGTGGTTTGGTACAGGAATTAGAAACCACTTTAGGTATTTAAAGCAGGAAGATATTTAATACAGAGAATTGGATTCTTATATAATCATTAGATGACAGCGAATAGACTGAGTTGAGGGATCTACCATAAATGCAATTCAGAGGCCCAAAAGCTTCTGATGTTACCTCGCATGACAATGCTAAAATTCTGCTTCTAGGTACCTGGTAACTAAACTCTGGAATGACCAACTATCTCAATTATTTCTAAATCCTCAGGTCTCAGGACCTTGTTTACTAGCTGAAACAGTAACAGGAAGATAGCTTTCTTTTCCTTCTCTTCTGTCTTCCAGATCCCTTGGGAATTCATCCAGTTGGCTACAGGGGAGTCTATGAAAATGTAATTTTAGACTTTTCAACCTTTCCAAAGAATTTATTATAAGGGACAAAGAGGAATAGAGAATTAAAAGAAAATTAGTCTTGTTAGATTGGCCACATTGGTGACTGTTATCACTGGATTAGGGAAATTTCAGACATCTTCTGGCAATCTTAAGAATAAGAGATACAGGAGACCAAAAGTAACACTTATTTTAGATGGATATGATAGAAAGGGACTTGACAGAATGATATGATACCTGAAATAGGACTAAGTGGAGGATGCAGGGGTTCTAGTGAATGAATCCTTGTTGACTAGGACCTTCAAGTGTACAAATTATACATGAAAGTTCTTATTCATTGGAAAGAAAGGTACAAATGATAGGAATTTTGCATTGTAAAGATTTGCTTGATTTCTTGATGTTTCTAGGAATTTCTTGCACATTGCCTTTAATGCTTAACCTTTTTAGTTTAAAAAAATTTGTTTTTCTTTATTGATTTTAGAGAGAGAGGAAGGGAGAGGGAGAGAGATGAGAGAGAACATCTGTTGGCTGCCTCCTGCATGCCCCACACTGGGGATTGGCCCATAACCCAGGCATGTTCCCTGACCGGAAATCGAACTGGAACCTCTTGGTACATGGGTCAACACTCAGCCAGTGAGCCACACTGGCCAGGCCAACCTTTTTAGTTTTTTGATATGACCATTTATGCAACCTTAATTTTCATAGAAATATCAGCCTTCTGCAGGGAAGAAGATTTGCTGTGACACTGAGAAACTAGAAGCAGAGAGGGAGGTGGGCATAGACTCTGCTTTATTATTCCAGATAGGAATGTAGTCTTGATGATGCCGAATTAACTTCAAGAACTAAGAGAATCTGATGTTTGAAGACATTCTTTAAAGCGAAGGCATATAATAGCATGGCAAGAATTAGCTGTTTTTTATTTTTCAGTTTTTCTACAATTCTACCTGCACATCCCATGATTAAAGTAAGGGGCTAGTGACAAGGCTGTATTTTTTTGGCTCTATGTCAAACTAGTGTGTTTGTGTTCCAACTAATAACTCATCTCAAACTCAACTTTGTAACCTATATATATATAATTTTTTTTTCATGTTAGTATTTGCCCTCCTTGCTACATAGAGAGCTACCTTCAGTTCTACATTGTGGTTACAAAGAAAAATATTATCTACTTAGAGCACCTACTGATTATTCATTTTTTAATTTCAGGTTGTTGCAAGGCATGAAGATTTACTGGCACAAGCAACTGGGATTGAGTCTTTGGAAGGTATATTTCTATTAACTATTACAGATTATATAGAACTAGACCAGGGATTGGCAGCCTTTTTCTGTTAAGGGTCAGAGAGTCAATATTTTAGACTTTGCAAGCCATACTGTCTCTTTTGCAGCTACTAAACTGCCACAGCAGAGTAAAAGAAGCCAGAAAATATGTAAATGAATATGTGTGGCTCTGGTCCAACAAATCTTTAACAAAACTTTGCTGAACTCTGAGCTAAACTATCTGGGTTCAAATTCTTGCTTTGTCACTTACTAGAAGTGTGACTTTAGACAAGTTACTTAATGTTTCTGTGCCTCAGTTTTATCTATAAAGGAGAGGGTTATAATGTGTACTAACATGGTGCCATTCTGAGGATTAAATAAGTTAGCAAAATGCTTAGAACAATTCCTGGCACATATTTAGTACTTCTATAACTCTTAGTTAATTAAAACAAGTAAAAAACATCAGTAACACCAAAATGGGTAATAGAGTTAGTAAGCTTGAATTTTTTCTTATTTTTGGCTTTCTTTTAAATGCTTTTCAATGTAAGTATAGTAGAATAAAAGTAAATTGGATTTTTATTTTTATGAATTCTCTTATTTTTGTTTTGCTAGCATTTATGAATTTTTTGTTCCCCCTTGATTAGCTGTATCACATAAATATGAAATGTTAATATCGTGTTACATTAATACTTATGTTGTGATTACTATTATTAATCATTGCACATCAAAAGAAAGCTAAGTGATCTTTTTCTGTGTTGATGAAATTCTTAAGGAGGAAGGATATTGCTTTCTGTGATGCAATATTCTTTAATGCTTCCCCTAGTGTTTTGTATGAACTCAAAGGTATTATTCTCAGCATGTACACTGTTTCTAAAACATCTTGAAGAACTTAATATTTTCAGAAATAATAGTTTGACTGCTATTTTAATATTTAGGATGTGTATCAGACTATATTCATGGGAAAATTAAGAGGCTCTAAGTACTGACTTACTACTGAAAATTATGTTCTTTTACTCTCTAAATATTTTTTATGGCTTCTGAAGTAAGTAATGTTCTGTTTTAATGGTCATTCTTTTAAACAAACGATAAATGATTTATTTAATTTGTAAAACCCGTAAGGATAGCATGGTAGTACATTGATTCTGAATGTATATGTGAATGTATATATGTATGTATATATGAATCATCACAACAGAAATACTTCTCATTGTTGTTTTCCTATATGTGTTTAGTTCTATTATGTGCTTGTTTTTCCCAGAATGCTTTTCACTGATTATAAAATAATATACTATTTGACTGAGTTAGAATAACTATTAGTTGAATGATTGTATTGAGTACTAAGCCTGGCTTCTCTGAGTTCCTATGATAATCTAAGAATTTTCCAGATTATTTGAACATAAAAAGTCAAAGTAAGAATTGGTTAGTATTCATTTTAGCATGATATGTATTCTGACCCCTTTTAGAATATTATTTTGAGATGCTGAAAAGTATGATATATATTTGAAAAGGAATATTATCCCAACTTCTACTTCATCTGCTTTTTTTCCTATATATTTAATTTTTTGCCACATAAGTAGTTTAGAGATATATTTATCAAGCCTATTTTATTAAAAGTTGCCTCCTATTTTTTGTTAACTTATTCATTTAAGTATTAATTGAGAATTTGTTAGATTCCAGGAAGCTGTGATAATAGACAGTCTCTGTCCTTAAGGAATATTTAATTAGGCCTATTTTATAAAAAGAGATATCCTCATTCATTCAATTGTTCACTCAATCAAATAGTAATTGAGCCCTTGTTATGTATCAGACACCTGTGAGCAATAGATAAAGCCATTGTTCCTATGGAACTTATGTTCTACATGGGGAAGTAGACAAAAAATGTACAAATAGGAAACTTCAGATATTTGTAAATCCTACGAAGAAAATAAAATGGATGATGGGGTGTAGGAAGGGTAGTCTTTTACTAGTTAGGATTGTCAGAGGAGGCTGTTTTGAGAAGATGACATTTGAATTGATATCTGAATGATGAGAAAGAGCTACCATATGAAGATCAACATGAGGAGAAGTTGAGGGACCAGTAAATGGGAAGGCAGGTATTAGCTTGGCAAGTTGAGGGGTAGAAAGAAGTTCAGTATGACTAGAGTTTAGTGAATAAAGGAGAAAATTGTGAGGTTCCTGGAAAGGAATTTTGATTTTCATTCTAAATGTAATGGTAAACCATTGGAGAATTTTATTTAGAAGTATTATGTGATAAAATTAATGCTCTTAAAAGTTTTTTTCTGGTGATTCTATAGTAAGGGAAGAGTAGAATCATTGGTACCAATTTAGAAGTTATTAGAGTAGTGGAAGTTGATTGGAGTGGTGGATGTAAAGAGATAGAGAAATGGATGGGATAAAAGTGGGGGCAGTGCTGGTAGGATTTGTTGATGGAAGATAAAAAGGCTGAGGGAAAGTTACCAGGAATGATTGCTAAGATTTTAGTCTGTAAAATTGGATAGATGATGGTATGAGTAACTGAGGTGGGTTAGGATGGAGAAGATTATAAATTTGACAATCCCAGCCAGGGTGGAACAGAAGTTATCTTGGGCATCTTAAATTTGAAATAAACGAGTTCACATCCACGGATTTGTGTGCATGTGTGTGTGTACACACATACATAGATAGGCAGATATAAAGAAAGTAATGATAACAAGTTATATATACATGTGTATATAAGCAGATGTATGTATGTATAAAATCAGTATTTTATTGATCAGATAGCATTTAAAACATTGGGATTGAATGAAATCCCTGAGAGATTGTAGATGGAGAACAGAAGAGGCTGAGGATCAAATCTTGGAGTACTCCATCACGTACAGATCTAACAGAGGAAGATTAGGAACAAATTAGTAAGATAGGAGAAAATCCAGGATGTATGATGACTTGGAAGCCAAGAGGGAAAAATGTTTTAGAGAGGGAGTGGTTTAACTGTGATGAATTTCTCAGAGTTTGAACAAGATAAAAACAGAACTGATAATAGAATTTGGCATGTTGGAGATTTCTGATGACCTTGACAAACATCTGTTTTGATGGAGTATGTATAAAAAGCCAGTTAAGATTGCCTTGTGGAGAGAGTAAGATGAACGAAAGTAATGATAACAAGTAAGAGCAGTTCATTCTTGGAGGTTTAAGGTCAGTGAACCATAAAACCAGCAGAAAAACGGGAATCCTTGGGGCCAGAGAGGATTCTGTTAGATTGAGCAAAATGAAAGCATTTATTACAATAGCTTTATTAACTCTGTTTTACGTAGTCACAGCTGTAAACCTACATTTTCCCCACCCTGTATTTGTATGCTAATATTACTTCATCTAATATATGACAATATTCTATACTTAAATTTGTTTAAAATATTATGTTTCAAAACTACAGGTATGCCAGTTAAATGGAGAAAATGAACTTTAAAGAATGGAGTTCAAAATAATTACATCTGTAAGATTAGAAAAACTATTTTTTGGCATATATAAATAGTAAAATTTAAAATCTGTCTTTCTGAAAATATTACACATTTTGTAAAATGTTAAAAAATGTTTTTGTTTTTTTTTTATCCTCACTTGAGGACATTTTTGCATTTATCTTCAGATAGAACAGGAGCGGGTTGGGGAGAGAGACACATCGATTGGTTGCCACCCACACGACCTCAACTGGGGCAGTGGACTAACTGCAACTGAGGTACGTGCCCTTAGCGGGAACCAAACCTGGTACTCTCTGGTCTGTGGGCTGATGCTCTAACTGCTGAGCCAAACTGAGCAGGGCAAAAAATGTTTTGTTTTTTTTTAGAGGAGAGGAAAGGGAGAGAGAGTTTATTTTTATCATGGTGTACACATGGAAAGTAAAGGTAATATCTTTGCTGTCCATGTTTATTTAGCTAGCATATTAATTAAAATATTTATAGACTACTTGCCATGGGAACTAGTTTGAGTTAGCTTCTGCTCATACAATAGTGAATAAAAAAGATACTTTAAATGCCAGGAATATATATATAGTCTAGTGAGAGTAAAACATTAAACAGATATATAAGTGGATATGTAATTACCTAATATGATTAGTGTTATGAAGGAAATGTATGCTGTAGAAGAAAATATCAAGAGAATATAAATTAGTTGAGTGATCTATTAGTAATTGTTTATGTTAAGTCAAGACTTGAACAAATAGTAGTTTATCCACTTGGAGTCTGGCGGTAGGGTCAGGGGTTGGAGAGACTATATACCAGGGGGAAGGACACCATTTCCAGATCACAGGGCCTTGTACACCAAGCTGTGGATTTTAGATCTAACATAGGAGCTAAGGGGAGATTGTGGAAGGGTTTTGGCAGAGAAATGTTATGGTACAATTTTGCACTTTTAAAGATCACTGAGGCTTCTTTTTTGTAATTACAGTGCAACACACATTAACATGGAATTTATCATTCTATCCATTTTAAAGTATATAATTCAGTGACATTAATTACGTTTACAATATTGGGCAACCATCACTATCAAGTTCGAGAAGTTTTTCATCACCCCAAATGGAAATCATATACCCCATTAAGCAATCACTCCCCGTTTCTTATCAGTCTTCTTTAATGGAACAGGATTGGAGGCGGGGATAGAGGCTTTTATAATGGTTCAGGCAAAAGATATTGGTTGCTTAGATTACAATGGTAGCAGAAAAACTTGAGATTTTCTATATATGTGTGTATATATTTTTATGTATTTTTTCTTTTTGTTTAATTTTTTTCCCAATTTGTGCCCATGTAAATTTGTAAAGTAATGTAAGCTGTTATATTTTTCTAGGTGTTCTTCAGATGATGCAGACAAGAATTGGGGCATTACAGGGAGCTGTTGATAGGTACTGACATTCATTTTGCAAATAAATAGAATGGAAGGATTATTATCTGTTGATATTTTGAAGATCATTTTATTATCACTCCTCTCTTTATTTTTCCTTCAGGATGAAAGCAAAAATTTTTGAGCCATATAATAAGATAGTAGCCCGTACTGCACAACTAGCAAGACTTCAGGTAGGTTCTCATTTTTCATTTCTTTCTACTTTGTTGTTCATTTTGTTTTTATAAATGGACAAATTTCAAGTGAATGAATTCTGACAAAATAAGAGATTATGAGAGAAAAGGGAAAAAATACTAAAGGACTTTAAAATAAGATATCCAATAAAAAAATACAAATCTAAACTACTGTTCAAGTGAAATATTCTCTTATTATGCAGTGTATAATCATTTACTAACTTTTTAGAATTCAGAATTGTTTCTTTTAATAGAAAACAGAAAGAAACCTAGCATTTATTCAATTCTTGCCATTTGCTGTGGTCAAATGTAAGAAACCCCAACCTATAGTTGTTCTAATAGCAGTGCTTATTCAGGAAATTCAGTTTTTGACAATTTAGTAATATTTCAAGCTTTACCAGAGAGAGATTTTCCACATACTTTCCATAAGTTATTCAAAAACTATTTACCTATAGTTAGATATGTAGATTGTTTCACACTTTTCTTTTTTTTTTAATCCTCACCCGAGGACATTTTTCCATTTTTTGTTCAGGTAGAGTGGGAGGGAGAGAGAGGAACAGAGAGAGAGAGAGAGAAACATCGATGCGAAAGGAACACATCGCGTGGCTGCCACCCGCACAACCGACCAGGGCCGGGGACAAACTGCAACCGAGGTACGCGCCCTTAGCGGGAACTGAACCCGGGTCTCTCAGGACCGCAGGCCGACGCTCTAACCGCCGAGCCAAACCGGCCAGGGCTGTTTCACACTTTTCATAATTGTAGGTACTCCATGATTAATTTTGTTCTATACATACAGCTTTTTCCCCTCTTGGGTTATTTTCCTAGGAAATCTAGTAACTAACTTTGTACTTCATTTTACCAAGGCAAAATAAAATTCTTTTTTATTATCCTCATTCTCTTTTTATGTTTTATTAATGTAATCCGAGGGCCTGATACTGCCCTCTCATTTTTTCTCTTTCTGTGTGTCTTCTATTAGCAACACCTTTCCCTTCTCCTTCAGTGTTCCTGTTTACCGTTATTCTATCCAAATGCTGTTTTCCCCAGTGATTTTTCTGCAGTCTTACTATTTTATTCATGCCTACTCCCCTGTTCTCACCTTTAATAACCTGGTTTATAACATGTAATGTCTGCTACATGCCAGAACTTTGGGAATTACAGAAAATTATGGTGCCTTTCCTCAGTTCGTTTAATATCACCAAACCTTACTCTGCTCCAGACATTGGTCTAAGGTTCTAGTGCTGGAGGCATCCTTAGACTGTGGAGTCTTCTCTCAAATAGCTGATAGTAGAGTAGGGAGACAGGCTGCTGATGATTATAATGTTTGGTAATAAAGGCAGTAATAGTAGTTACTACTATGGAGTATTTACTATATGCACAATGCTTAAGCTGCATTATTTTATTTATTCCTGATAGTAATCCTAAGAGATTATTTTATAGATAGAGACATTGGACGTTTTCTATCATTTTACTTTTAACCTATTTTTGTCATATGTTTAAAGTGCATTTCTTATAGTCAGCATATAGTTGGGTCTTAATTTTTTCATCACTCTTACAAAATCTGTTTTTTATTTGGAATGCTTAGATTGTTTACATTTAATATGATTATTCATATGGTTAGGTTTAAATCAGTCATATTCTTATCTAATTTCTATTTTTCCTGTTTTGTTCTTTGTTCCTTTTCTTCCTCTTTTTCTGCCTTATTTTGGGTTAATTGAGTATTTTATGATTCCATTTGCTTCCTTTGTTGGCTTATGAGCTATAACTTTTGTCTATTTTACTGATTGCACTAGGATGTATAGTATACGTTTTAACTGTTCAGTGTACTCTCTAGTTATATTATACCACTTCACATATTATATAAGCACCTTACAGTAGTATCCTTACATTCTTCCCTCTCAGCTTTTATGCTATTATCATACATCTGACTTTTACATGTTATAAACTCCCCCAGTATATTTATTAATAATGTTAATGTTTTTGTTTAAACAAATAATTAGCTTTTAAAGAGATTTAAAAAGAAAAGCTTATATATTTATACAATCACTATTTCCTTCTTTCCTTTGATTAGATTCATATGTCCAGGTGGTATCATTTTCCCTTTTCCCTAAGAACTTATTTTAACATTTCCTGTAGTGTCAATCTGCTGTTCATGAATTCTTTCAGCTTTTGTATGTCTAAAAAAGACTTTATGTAATCTTTCATTTTGAAAGCTGTTTTGCTGGACATAGGATTCTAGGTTGACTGATTTGTTCTTTTCAGTACCTTAAAGATAATTCTCATTTTCATTATTTCTTATGAGAAATTTTTTATTACTTTTGTTTTTATAATGTGTTATTTTTCTCTATTTTCAGAGATTTTCCCTTTATCACTGTTTTCTAAATTTATCTTTATTGTTTAAAGTATTACAGATGTCCCCCCTTTGTCCCCATTGATTCCCTTCTCCCCACTTCCGCCTCCCTCCACCTTTCCCACATCATTGCCTGTGTCCATTGGTTATGCATATATGCATATACATTCTTTGATTTATCTCTCCCTGCGCCTGCTTTCCCCCTGAGTTTCCTCAGTCTAAAAACCAATTTGTACTTCTTTTTTAAAACTATTTTTTAATGTTTTTTTAATTGATTTTTTAGAGAGAGAGGAAGGGAGAGAGAGATAGAAACATCGATGTGAGAGAGATACATTGATCGGCTGCCTCCTGAATGCCCACAGCTAGGGATCAAGTTGGCAACCAGGGCATGTGCCCTGACTGGGAATCCAACTGGGACCTCTTAGCCCATGGGACGATGCTCAATCCACTGAGCCACACTGGCCAGGCCAATTTCTACTTCTTAATCCCCTCACTTTTTTGCCCATGCTCCCAACACTCCTCCCATCTGGCAACCAACACAAAGTCCTCTGTTCTGCTTCTTCATTTTCTTTGTAGATTCAATTGTTAATAGATACGTATTTATTGCCATTTTTTTGTTCATATTTTGGATCTTCAAAAAGACCCTTCAACATTTCATATAGTACTGACGTGGTGGTGATGAATTCCTTTAGCTTTTTCTTGTTTGGAAACTTCTTTATATATCCATCGATTCTAAATGATAGCTTTGCACCCTGGCCGCTGTGTCTCAGTGGTTGAGCATCGACCCATGCACCAGGTTGTGGGCCTGATCCCCAGTGGAGTCGAGTCATGCAGGAGGCAACCGATCAATCTTCTTTCTCATCGATGTTTCTCTCTCTCTCCCCTCTCCCTTCTTTCTCTCTAAAATCCATAAAGAGAAACAATTGTTTAACAATGATAGCTTTGGGGGTCTTCCGGTGAAGATGGCACCATAGGTAAATGTGGTAGCATGTCCTCCTAAAACCACATCAAAGTTACAACTAAACTACAGAACAACCATCATTCAAAACCACCTGAACTCAAGCTGAATCGAGGTTCTACAACTACAGAATTAAAGAAGCAGCCACATCGAGACTGGTAGAAGGGGCGGAGGCAGTGGGGCTGGTCCCACACCCACATGTGGCGGATAAAAATCAGGAGGATACCTTGGCTGGGAAGGTCCTCTCTGAGGACTGGGGGGTCCCCGTCCCACACCAGGCATCCCACTCAGGGTTCCAGTGCCAGGAAGAGAAGTCCCCATAAGTTTTGGCTGGAAAAACCAGCGGGAACTGAGGCTCAGGGAGGCTGAGGCGGCTGGAGCCCCAGCCAGCTCCTCTTAAAGGGCCTGTGCATGGACTTACCAGAATCACTCCCTCTAAGCTTGGAGGGGAGGCGCAGCATGAGGGGCGCCAGAGACATACAGTGAACAACTGAGCTCTTTGGCATTGGAGCGAGAGCTGGAGAGGGGGCTTTCTCTGGGACAAACTGTTGTCAGAGGCCTTTGTTCCTTTGGTGAGTTCTTCCCTAGGGTGGCAGACAGCCACCATATCTGGGACTCTAGCAACCTGGTTCACACTGGTTGCCCTGCCCTGGTGATTCCCTGAGACCCCACCCCACCCAACTTTCAGGCGCACCCAAGCTGTTGCCAGTTGCTTAACCATAGGATTGGCCTGTCTTGGATCCTGCTTCAGGTTTTCCTAAATTCTCTCAAACAAGCAGCATCTGGTCTCAGCCAGCCCCATACCTAGAAACAAACACAGGGAGGCAGCCAAAATGAGGAGACAAAGAAACAGATCCCAAATGAAACAACAGAAAAAATCTCCAGGAAAATAATTAGGTGAAATGGAGATAAGCAACCTAACAGATGCCGAGTTCAAAATACTGCTTATAAGGATGCTCAATGAACTTAGTGAGAACCTCAGCAAACTTAGTGAGGTCCTCAAGAGCATAAAAAAGGACCAGTCAGAAATGAAGGATGCACAGTCAGAAATGAAGGAGGCACTAACTGAAATAAAGAATAATTTACACAGATTCAATAGTAGAGTAGGTAAAGACAAGAAGCAGACCATTGATTTGTAATATAAGGAAGCAAAAAACACCCAATCAGAACAGCAAAAAGAAGAAATAATCCAAAAAAAATGAGGATAGTGTAAGGAGCCTCTGGGACAACTTCAAGCATGCCAACATTCGCATCTTGGGGATGCCAGAAGGAGAAGAGAGAGAACAAGAAATTGAAAACCTATTGGAAACAATAATAGCAGGAAACTTCCCTAACTTGGTGAAGGAAACAGAAATACACGTCCAGGAAGCACAGAGAGTCCCAAACAAGATGAACCCCAAGAGGCCCACACCAAGACACATCATCATCAAAATGCAAAAGGTTCAAGACAAAGAATCATAAAAGCAGCAAGAGAAAAGCAGTTAGTTACCTACAAGGGAGTTCCCATAAGACTGTCAGCTGATTTCACAAAAAAACTTTGCAGGCCAGAAGGGAGTGGCAAGAAATATTCAGAGTGATGAAAGGCAAGAACCTACAACCAAGATTACTCTATCCTGCAAAGCTGTCATTTAGAATCAATGGCCATATAAAGAGTTTCCCAGACAAGAAAAAGTTGAAGGAGTTTATCACCACCCA